ATGCAAGTTCAATTGCATCAAGCAAATCTGTGTGGTTTGTGGACAGCGCATGTAGCAATCACATGACCTTTCAAGAGTCTTTATTGATCAATCTTGATAAGTCAGTGACCTGTAAAGTAAAAATGGGCACTGGAGACCTTGTTCAAGCTACAGGAAAAGGGACACTTGTAGTTGAGACACGAAAAGGGAGAAGATACATAAATGAAGTGCTGCTAGTTCCTGGATTAGATGAAAACTTACTGAGCATAGGGCAAATGATGGAGCATGGGTACTACATTCTGTTTGGAGGAAATTGTGCATTAATATGTGATGATAGAAGTCTTGATAATGTTGTTGCTAAAGTTGCAATGACTGGAAATAGATGTTTTCCATTGTCCATGGAATCTGTCAACTTAGTGGCAAGGAAAGCAGCAATACAAGAAGATCCATGGGTTTGGCATAGAAGATTGGGTCATTTGAATTTTACTAGCATGAAGAAAATGCAGCAAACACAAATGGTGTTGGGTTTACCTGATTTCTCAGAAAAAGAAGGAGTATGTGAAAGCTGTGTGTATGGTAAAAGTTACAGAGAACCATTTGAGAATGAGAAACCTTGGAGAGCAAACAATCCACTTGAATTGGTGCACACAGATGTATGTGGTCCAATGCAAAATGAGTCCATTGGAGGGAACAAATACTTCATCACATTCATTGATGATTACTCAAGGATGTGTTGGGTATATTTCCTCAGAAACAAGTCAGATGTGATAAATGTGTTCAAAAAATTCAAAGCATTTGTTGAACTTCAAAGTGGATTCAAATTGAAGAAACTAAGAAGTGACAGAGGTGGAGAATACACCTCACATGAATTCCTTGAGTATTGCAGTGATCTTGGCATGGAGAGGCAGTTGACTATTGCCTACTCACCTCAGCAAAATGGGGTTGCTGAGAGAAGAAATAGAACCATTGGAGAAATGGCAAGATCAATGATGTCTGAGAAGAAAATTCCTGTCAAGTTTTGGGCTAAAGCAGTTGGCACTGCAGTGTATCTGCAAAATAGGTGTTATACCACTGCAGTCTCAGACAAAACACCATTTGAAGCTTTCACAGGGAGAAAACCAGGTGTAAAACATCTGAGAGTGTTTGGAAGTATATGTTACAGTCACATTCCATCAAATCTCAGACAGAAATTTGATGACAAAGCAAGCAAGGGAATTTTTATGGGGTATGGCAGCTGTGAGAAAGGCTACAGGATCTATAATCTTCAAACTAAGAAGATCATACTCTCAAGAAATGTTGTATTCGATGAGAACAAGTCCTGGAATTGGGAAAGCAAGCAAGATGAAACTGTTTACATGCCTCTCAACATTGGAAATGAAAATTCTGAGATAGTTGAAAATGAAGAATCCTCTCATGAAACTCACAGCACTGACTCTCTAAATCTCACTCAATTAGTCTCTGATGATGAATGTGTCCCTGGAAACAACATTGCCAGTACTAGTCAAGGTTCAACACCAAGCAATACACCAGTAAAACTGAGAAGCTTGGAAGACATCTATGCAAGATGTCATATGACCATCATTGAACCTGAAACCTATCATGATGCTATTGAAGATAAAGCATGGAAGGAAGCAATGGAAGCTGAGATTGAAACTATTGAAAAAAATGGAACTTGGGAGCTGGTGGAAAGGCCTGCAGACAAACCAGTCATAGGAGTCAAATGGGTGTTCAAAACTAAGTTGAATCTGGATGGATCAGTTCAAAAGCACAAGGCTAGGCTTGTGGCAAAAGGGTATGCCCAGAAACCTGGTATTGATTATAATGAAACATTTTCTCCAGTGGCAAGGTTAGATACAATTAGAACCCTGATTGGACTTGCAGCACAAAAGGGTTGGAAGATGTTCCAATTAGATGTTAAGTCAGCCTTCTTGAATGGAGTACTTGATGAGGAAGTTTACACTGAACAACCAGAGGGCTTTGAAGTTGAGAATGCAAGTCACAAGGTCTATAAGTTAAAGAAGGCTCTCTATGGTTTGAAGAAAGCTCCTAGAGCCTGGTACAGTGAGATTGACACTTATCTCACTAGCTGCAATTTTAAAAGAAGCACCAGTGAGGCCACTTTATATACCAGAACTGATGAAGAAGGAAAGCTGATCATTGTCTCTATATATGTTGATGATATAGTTTATACTGGAAGCAGTAATGCATTACTCAGTGAGTTCAAAAGAGACATGATGCAAAAGTATGAGATGACTGATTTAGGACTCCTACATCATTTCTTGGGAATGGGAGTTCTACAAACTGATAAAGGGGTGTTCATTCATCAAAGCAAGTATGTAAAGTCCTTACTTGTAAAGTTTGGCCTAGAGGATTGTAAGTCAGTGACAATTCCTCTACCCACTGGTGAAAAACTGAAGAAAGTTGATGGAAGTGAGTTGACTGATGAAGGTTTGTTCAGGAAAATTGTTGGCAGTTTGTTATATTTAACTGCAACCAGACCTGATATAATGTATGCTGCCAGTTTGCTTTCAAGATTCATGCATGGTCCCACGAAGAAGCACATGGGAATAGCTAAAAGAGTTCTTAGATACATTCAAGGTACTCTCAGCTATGGCATTGAATTTACAAGGGACAATGATGATGTTTTGATTGGATTTTGTGACTCAGATTGGGCTGGCAGTGAAGATGACAGTAGGAGCACATATGGGTATGCATTTAGTTTTGGTAGTGGTACATTTTCATGGGCCTCAGTCAAGCAAAACACAGTTGCATTGTCAACTGCAGAAGCTGAGTATGTCTCAGCAGCCGAGGCAACAGCTCAAGCTATCTGGCTAAGATTTGTGTTGGATGATTTTGGTGAAATGCAAACTGAAGCAACACCATTGTTTTGTGACAACATGTCAGCAATATCGATGGTCAAAAATCCTGTCTTTCATCAGAAAACCAGACATATAAACAGGAAATATCATTTTATTCGGGAAGCATTGCAGCAAGGATCCATTAATGTGGAATATTGTAGGAGTGAAGAACAGTTGGCAGATATATTTACAAAAGCTTTGCCTAAAGATCGATTCAATTACTTGAGGATGAAGTTAGGAGTAAAGCCAGTAAGCAGCTTAGGAGAGGCTGTTGAGAATTAAGCTGCATCCTAGCTTTAGAATTAACCTGCAGAAGATAATCCTGCAGATGAAATCAAAAAGGAAGCTGAGAAGTGTGAAGAAATGAAGGCTTTACCAAAATTAGAAGGAGCCATTAATTTCAACGGCTAATTTCTTTTACTAGTTTTAGAAAGATTACAGCTGGTGTTCCTATCTTTTTAATTGTACTGAGCTTTCCCATCTTCTTCCAAGTGGATGAATGATATCCTCCGATAACCATTAATGGCCGGAAAAGGGTTCTAGGTCCCTATATGTAGGATCAGTTTTTAGACCAGCTGTGATAAATATAGTCTTTGTATGTTTGCCTTTTGTGATATATGAAAAATACACAGACTCTTGCTCTTCCTTTTCTCTCTTGAAAAAACACAAATTTCTTCAAACCCTTATTCAAAGTTTCAATCTTTATCAACCAAAAACAATATGCCTGGTACCATTTCAAACATAGCAGATAGTTGGCTGAATCCAAAAATTTAAAGGCGCAAGAGTAGTTCAGCAGCATCGGCAACACGATCAGAAGACATTGATAAATCAACCTGAAGGCAGAATTCCAAGCCCTCAAATGCATCAACTAAATTATTTAGAAAAGTAACAAACGGGAAATTGTTTTTAAAAAACGTACCCCGTGATCTCGATCAGCTTTCAATTGTTTCTGCAGAGCGATTCACCACTCAATTCCAATACAATCCGAAGTAGTGTTCTAAATTCCAAGACCCTTCAGATTGTCGGAGGTTTTAATACATCAATAATTCCTTCATCAGCAGTGCAATGAGCCAAGTCATGGAAGAACATTCAAAAGTCAAAGTCATTAGTCAAGTCGGTGTAGCTAGGCCAATTCAACCTGAATTAGATATTAGGCTAGAACAGGTAATACCCGCCACACATATATTATTCACTTTTTTTAGAGACGTTCGAGAGAATTTTATTGTATCACGTATAAAGTGCTCCTTTAATAGTTTGTTGGAGACGAGCTAGCAACTCTGCTACAGTTGAAAATATTTGTATCAGTATGCACTATATAACTAAAAACACTTGGGCATCTGGTTCGACTCCACTCTTGCCCCTGACCGTAGCAAAAAAGTTTCTTCACAGTATATGGACTTTACCTTCTGAGAATACTGACTAATCATGTCCTGTTGTGCCACTAATAAGTAATAACAGCTCGTTCTCAAGAAATTGTAGCCTTGTATTGTTTCTTTTTTAAAAGAGTGTGGCAAAGGTGTCCCATACCTCTTTCGGTGCTGTGGCTTTTCCTCCAACATATCCTCAATCTTCAATTGTGCTTCATTGTATTCTTCTAGGTTTGATGATTATATTTGTAAAAAATCATCAAAATTAGAGCTAAAATGATTTCTAAATCATGATTTTTCAGTTCTAATTGTGGAATGATTTCATACACTATGCGGCCTTTTTTTTCGTGGTGCCAAATGTTTGCCCAATGAAAGCTTTCTTGCCCGACCAACTCTCTCCATCACGTAAAGTCTTTTGACAAAACCCTAAATATTGACTAGTTTCGCCCGACCAACTGAAAATTTCGTCGGGCAAAATGACTTCACCCGACAAATTTTGGTTCATCGGGCAAAAATTTGTAGGGAAAATATTAATTTCTGGTGGTGTACTGAATACTTAGTCCACATGATCGTATAATGATTTAAATTATGCTTAACCGAGAGACGTTGAGGGCCGGGGATCGATGTAATTAAGGTTAACGATTGGCACTGATTTAAATAGAGAAGAGGGTTATTGCGCACGCCATGGATTCTTGGACAAAATAAATGATCGCATTGGTTTTTAAGGCATGCACAAGTTGTACTTATATCATATTAAAAGATTAATGAAGGTCATAAACTAAATTAATCAGCTCACTTCCAGTCGATAGGCAATTTATTATATTAATAATTAGTACATTAATTAATTTCCAAATTCCTAGTTAAGCACACTAAACACTACATAGAGGAAGATAACGATTTACATTAGCTTGTTACTATCTACAAAGTTCTAAATGGATCCAGATTCACATATACAGGTTCATCCATTCCATGCCATGAATGTAATTGTTCTGGGGCATGTAAAAAACATCATCGTACTCTTCCACCCCAAATTCTCCTAAAAATGGAGGATCAATGGCTTCCATGGAGAGCGAGGAGCTCGGACTGTTGCTGGATCCGCCGTGATCGACCCGCTGCAAGAGCCGTTGGATCTCCTTCTCAGCCTCCGAGAGTTGATCCTTGAGCTTCGACATCTGCATATCAATGGTTTAAAAAGTTATGCATGAGACTATATATATTTCAAGTTGTGTGTTTATAAAACATGTACTCAATGTCAATGTGGACCAAATGTGGTCACGTGATGTTCCCCAAATGAGTCACGGCAAAGGCCCTAATGGACCAACACCAACCACCTTAAACAAGATTGTACGGACGTCCCATGAGAGCTGGAAGAAGAGTCTTTTGCTGTCTAATGAGATGGCGGCAAGATGTGGTTTGTTCATCCCCCAACCCCAGAAAAAGAAAACTCTTTATGTGTTTTCTATGCCAAAATCAGAACAACTTGTATGACACGAAATATTAATGTGACAACAGAACAACTTGTATGACACGAAATATTAATGTGACAACGTATTCGTACATGCCCTACTCTCCAAACCCAACAATTCTTTGAGCCTACAGATCATGCATGTTCGTGTTGTGTGCCTATGTGGTGGCCCTGGTGCATGCACCTTGTCCTTTTAATTTTTATGTTTTCTAATTGTCCTTTCCAAGGGAAAAGAGTAAGACATAACTACGAGCCAACAACTTTGGTGTGATATTTTCTTGGAAACCCTTTCTAACAAAGTATTTACCCTTGTACTGGAAGTTTTTGAGTATAATTTTTCTCTCCTCCCTGTCACTAGTATAAAAACAAAAGTAGTGCGATATCTCAAACTACTAAATTAAACTATATATATTTAAGAAATGAAATACTGAATAGTTAAATAAAAAGAAAGAAAGCTCATCAACCCCCAAACAAAAATATAATCTACTTTTAACCCACCTTGATTGACTTACCAAGAAACCAAATGAAAACTAAAATGGTAAAATTCAAATGCTATGCTTGCTTTGAATCCTGAACAATATATAGTTGTAAATTATACTTACCATATAGTTTATAGTTCACTTTTCCTCGATTTCTTTAGAAAGTAAACTAAACCCAACAAGGTCAGTGATGCAAACAACATATGCACATAGAGAGAGAGAGAGAGAGAGAGAGAGAGAGATGAATTACCTCGGATTCAAGTCTACATTTCTCAGCAACAGTTATTTCATTTTCTTTCTTTAAGGTTGAGTACTCTTCCTCCAACTTCTTGTTCTTCCAACGAGCCCTACGGTTTTGGAACCAAACAGCAACTTGACGAGGATCAAGACCCAGGTCAGAAGCAAGCCTGTCTTTCTTCTCAGACTCCAGTTTGTGTTCGTTGCCAAAATTGAGCTCAAGAAGGTCTACTTGTTCAGCTGTGAGCTTCCTCTTCTTAAGCCCAACACCACCAGCTTCTCCACCTTTGCTCTTCCTGCGACGTCGTCTTGCCGGCTTTGAGGCTCCTAAGCATAATAAAAATAAAATAAAGTTAAAATATTAATTAAGGAGCAGTTTAATAACCATTTCAATGACATGTTTTGTTTTAACTATTTTTTTAAACAAAAAATTTGTTTGGTAATTGTGTTCTCAGTTTTTAGCTTTTGTAAAAATGTAAACTGATTTCAAGCCAAATTTGAAATTAAAAAAACAAAGTAGCTTTAAGAATTTGGTTTTCAGACTAAGAACTGCAATCGTTATCAAAGAACTCTCATAAACAAGAGGAAAGGAAAATTAGAAAAAGTTTGTATGCTTTTGAAGTACAAACCTTGGGGGGGTACAATTTGAGTGTAGACATCAGAGGCCGAGTACAAGTGAGAGATCAGTAGCATCTGATGATCGTCTTCAACAATTTGGTGGCTGTTGGTTGTCATGCTTCCTAATTTCCTATGGCTAGCTAGTTCTGTCACTCTCTCTGCAACTCTCTTAATTTTTCTCTACCCCTCACTCTCTCAAGAAACAAATGTGTTGAAGTTGAATGGCTTGGGATGCAACGCATGGACTTTATTTATAAGGAAAAGTTTTCTCTGTGAGTGAGTCATACATCCTTTCAAGCTTTAATTTGTTTTACAGTAAAAGGTCTTTTACAGTAATGTCCTTAACTATGTAGAAAAACATGGGGATGTGCTAGTCATGCATCACGTTGTTGGAGTTCTTTCTTCGTCACTTATGCATTAAAGGGCAAATTGGGAAAAACATACATGCAAAGCTAACCGCGTATTGGATTAAAAAATAGGAAAGAAAAAACATAATCTTTAAACCTTGGTTCCATATTCACCCTACAAACGTGAAGATGCATCTAGGTCTTGATGGCCATGATTGAATTTGATACAATAATAGTTTTTTTTTTTTTTGAACAAATGGTATTATTTACATTTAAGGGGAAGGAGTGAACTTAGTTTTACAATAGGTCAGCAATAATTTAGATCAAATTCATCTTTGACAAAAATCAAACATAAAATCTCTTACTTGCAAGTTAAAATAAATATCACTAGAACAAAAACAGAAAATTATATACACTAAAACGCCAAATTAGGATGCTTATTTTGGTGGAAGTGTAACCCGCCTGTGACCAATGGTTGATTTAGGGTTCCTAATTTGGTGATTAACCAAAAACGGAAAGGGCAATTATGGTATGAAAGAAAAAGTTAAAACCCCTAACCACGCACAAACTTTGTAAATCCGGTTAGGTTGGGATCCCAAACCTGACCACTCGAAGTCAATAAACAATGTGGTGTAGTTGGCCTATGGATTTGGACTTGCAATTCACTTTTGTAGTCCAGTTGGGTGGTAAAATCTCCTCTTTCTATGTCAGTTTTAGCCAAGCCACACTCAATTAGCTTAGCGTAATTAGCTTAGGCTTTATATATACATTAGTAAACTAGTAGGTCATGCGTGGCTCGAGATGGGTGAAACCGTGAAAATGCAAGCATCTTAGAGTATTTTGTGTTTGCTTAACAAGCATGTAAATAACATAGAAAAATCTTGGAACCCCCTTTTTTTAGGTGTGTGATATTCACACATCTCATTTTATTTTTCACACATATTTTTAATTTTTAACCGTTCGATCGGATGAATTGAAGAATATCAATAAACAGAAATTATTATAAGTTGTGTGAGATGTAAAATTGAATGTATGGATAGCACTCCTCTTTTTTTACCTTATTACATTAAGAATCATAAAGTAAGGAAGGTTAATAAAATAATTGTGGGGAGGTTGGAGGAAATTGATGGCCACTAAAGATGTCGTCAGTGTTGACGTTTTTTCTTTAACACTCGCACTTTCTTAACACTTGACACACGATTTGTTTTAATATTTATGGGAATCTGTACAAAATTTAAAATAGAATTTTTTTTTTATTGTAAATGCTTCAATTAGAGCCCAAGTAATCTTATACTAATTCTTTTTCCCAACATGGCTCATGATATATCCGGAAAGGGATGTGATATCCACACTCTATTTTACTTTTTATATACCTTTTAAATTTTCTACCGTCGGATCGGATGAATTGAAGAAGATCAACGGATATAAATTATCAAGGGGTGTGTGAGAAGTAAAATGAGGTGTGTGGATAGCACACCCCATCCGGAATATGTTAGAGTGATCAACTTTTTAGATTTAATATGTTATCGATAAAAAATAAGCATGTTAATCAACAATAAAATAATAATATAATTATAACAACTATATTATATGATTTACAAAATTTAATTTAAATACATGATTTCCCTAACATTACTCATTTGTAAAACTCATGTAGGAGTCAATCCTAGTGACTACCTCAGTCATAGAATACTGATCACATTTAGGATATCTAAAATTAGGGTTATATCTCCAAAATAGTGCATATGTCTCTAAAACAATTCATCAAATGAGCTTTTTTCCCATCATGTTATTAAATCTTTAGAATTAATAACCTAAATAACAATGAAAGAGAGAAAACACAGGAAGAGACAAAAATTTAAATTTATTTATCTTTTCAGGTTCTCTGTTTTATCTTGTGTTTGTTTTGAAGATACTGAATTACAAGGAGAAAGCAACAACATTTTCCCTGTCGCCCGCACAATCAAACAACACAGCAGAGTCACTTTCTCATCCATTTACTTTCCTTTTTTCTCCCACGGTTTTCCATCTTTACATAAATGTCCGACTGGATGATGATGAAACGACTGAGTGGTCACAGCTCACAAGGGCATGGGGAAATATGTGGCATGGCCTAGCTTGATCAAAATTTCCGGTAACATTCATGTATGAAGTATGAACGAGAAATCTGCACTCCAAAAGCCATTATGCATGTCTGTCCTTGAAAAGGTTATGCGTTTGTTGAATCCACGAAGGACCTGAAAGAAAAATGTCAAAGATAACCTAATAGGTCCCACAGCAAAACGGAAGTCTAATTGATATTTTTTTTGCATCAATCACCTACGGTTTTTCTTTCAAGAAGTGTAAGGGAAGTAGAAAGCTTCGATATCATGAAAAAAGTTGTTATTTTTGTACGGTATTAATTTGTGATATGATGAATGATTCAACTCGTTATTAGCTCATGTAAGAGTTTTCATTCTAAAAATTAGGTAGCATAGATAAAGTTCATATCGGAATTATGAAGAAAAAATGTTTACAATAAAAATAAATGTACAAAAGAAACAAGAAAATGCAAAGGAAAATCCATATCGATATTTGGTTGCTATTGTAGTTTTTTTTATTTTAATAATTATAAATGACAATAATATCTGATCCCCATATTAATTATATCCTCATTAGTGATGGAATCATGACCTTAAATCTGATAGCACAAGTAAAAGAATCCACGCTTTAGCATTTTAGCTGGATTGGATATATCATATCCATAATTCCATATGTTGTAAGTAGAGGCACCGCGTGAGAACGATTTGAATGAATTATATCACTCAATTACTAAGATTAGTTAAAATGTACTAACTATTGAGTAGACTCAAAGATACTTTGAAGTTTGAAGCAACCATAGTATACATTATCATTATCTATTTCAGATAGAATAATGTCAAATACTCATTTAATTGCTTGGCTCGATATTGAGTAATGTTTACTAACCATACTTATATCATCAAATAAGCACTCATGGTGTTAGGTTATGAGTATAACTAGTTTATTATGAATTTACCTTGATCAAAAGTTTGAAATAACAATTTACTAACATAAACATATTACACATCACATACGTTTTTGCAAAACCATGTCGAAAGAGAGCATAGCCCTTTTACTTGCGTAGTTCTGACTCCGACGTTGTAAGCACTCGATATATAAAACTCGGAGCAGGTAAAATCATACAAACGTAATGTTAATAATGAAAGAGGGAAAACTAAGGAGGGAGCAAGAAGTGATTGACAGGCCAATTGTCCTTGGTCAGTAGGACAAAGTACCCTTAAGCTTTAGTCGGCTCAGAGCCATATAGCTAGCAAGGTCGGATGGACTTTTGGCTATGGCAGGCTGCTTTCAAAGTGTGGTTAAGTGGCCAAAGGAGCACATGGGGAGCAACAAGAGGCTTTTACACGTGTCAAAACCCCTAGGGTTTGCTTTAGGGTTTTCAAGGGACCACATATTCTATCCACCCACGTGTAACTCTCTCATGCGCAGGGAGACCTAATTCACAAACCTGCCTACCAATCAGGAATCAGATGTCCACGTTAATATCATATAATTCAGCAGTAAATTACCAATACTACGCTAGCCGCCATATTTGTACCACGCACTTCTTACACTTGATTAACAAACCCTTTAATTTTTTTTCTTAATTAGTCCTAGTTGGGGATTTATGTTTGATATATTATAGCCCTAATTGTGGAAAAAAACTAAGCTATGACTGAATAAAGAAACACAATCGTGGAATGCATGCGTTTCTTCTTATGCTCATTCTATATGATGATGCATATCTTCTTTGAATGCAATTGTTTAACTGACTTACGTAAATGTAATGGTTAGTTAGAGCAGTCCTAGTTAGGGTTACACACATTGCTGATTATAATCATTGATGCATGTGGTGTCGCTAATGTATCAACAAACGAAATTAATCTCCATACGCATGCACGACTGATTTGCATGTCTGTGGGTTTTCTACTTGGACTACATTCAGTGAATGGAACTTACAGTTCAACTGATATATGTATATGCAGTGAATGTGAGTTTTCTCTCTGTCAAATTTTTTCCAAAGAAACTTGAAAGATTTCGAGTCATTCCTATAGTGGTGGAAGAATTAATGAAGGAAATAACTGTGACCTAGCTACTAGTGTCACTCTGATAAAGACTGCCCAGTTGTGTGACACGTGTAACGTTTTCTATACAAAACTTGGACCCCATTTTTTAACCTTTGATGCAAAAGGGTTGATAGGGAAAGCTTGTAATTACAAATTTGGTTGGTTTGGTTGCCAAAGTCAAGACTTGTCATTGATTGAGTTCGATATTTGTGAACATAACTATTGGCGCACGCATGTTCTTGTTGCTATATGGTTAATAGGGTTTAGTTTTTGTTGGCCAATAGAGTTGTGACATGTACGAATTTTCTTCATTTGGTTAATGAAATGTGAAAATGCTCTAAAGGTGTGAATTGCTAATTTATTCCATCAGTTGCTCCTCTTTGAAGCAAGATAAAATTAAGAGATACAATTAAAAGAAGGATTTGGAAAAGATAAGGCTGCTAAGTTTACTACGGTTAGTTTGGATTAAAGTAAAGATTTGGTAATTAAGGATAAGGATGAAACCCTAGTGACAAGTAAGAGAGAGAGAGATGCTGCTAAGCTGGCATGCGCATGGCATGGAAGGGATGCCTTTATATACTTTTGAGTTGTTTTCTTTTTGGGGTTTAATTAACTAATCAACTTTTTTATAATTATTTTGACTAAACAAATCTACAAAGACTAAACTAATGAGTGTCATGTTTATCCCGACAATTCCCACCATTGTTTCCCATCTTCCAACTCTGGAGTTAGATGCTAAACAGCTAATGGTTGTGTACTAATT